ATTTATGCCTAAGTGGAAAATCCTTCCCTCAATAGAGGTGGAGGCCTCAGACACAACTTGTCTCCCATTTTTCACGCTGCTCTTTCATCAGTCCCCAGGAAAATTAAGTCCACTTCACAAGTTCACCAGGGAGGCAGCACTTAACGACCCACTTGGGGATGAGTGAGGGATTAGCAGCAAGTCATCAGTCCCCAGGAAAATTAAGTCCACTTCACAAGTTCACCAGGGAGGCAGCACTTAACGACCCACTTGGGGATGAGTGAGGGATTAGCAGCAAGACACCCACATCCCAAAGACTCTACTAATCGCATCTCCTATTGTCCCTTCATCATGTCAGTGAGAAACACAGCCACCCTGGAAGACATTTATGGGGTCCCCCCAGCCAACTTTCTAGACTGAAGCTGCTTGGACAAGAAATCCAGTTGCCATGACTCAACCTCCAGATAATCTACATAAACTGAACCAACAAATAAATAAAGCTCACACACACAAGCTGAACAGAGACATTTGGGAAAGTGCAACAAATACACGTGAAAACCGGTTAACATGTTTAATAGAAAGAGAGGAATCCCCTAAAAATTAAGGATAATCATCGTTCAGTCGGGCGGCGTACAAATTTAATACACTGTTATTGTTATTACTGTTATTATATCTTCCACCAAAAAATCAAGCAGCTGGGTAACCTATTTTTAAGGAAAAAATGAAGTGTTGAAAATAATGCAAAGTAAAATTCTAAAACGGCTAGCAAGAAGACATAAGAATTAGGAAATACCGTTTAATTAAACGATTCTGGGAAGAACCCCCCCCCCCATCCACTTCACGGACAACCTCAGCGGCGCCCGCTGGAGAAACTCACCGCCTGGAGCAAGGCGCCCGGAGGCGGCTGCCCAGCCCCGGGACCCGGCCCCAAGATGAGCTCATGGCGGGGTTTCTTAGCAGCAGACGCCGCCGCCACCAGAGCCATATCCGGCCCGGGAGCCTTCCGTTTCTGCGGGTCGATCATCCTTCCCTCAACGCCGTCGCGCGCGGCCACGAGAACAA